ATCTTTGACGATTTTTAATGTTTTTTGGCTCAGCAGAATGGCTTCAAAATTTATAGGCGTGTAGGTTACATCATAGAGAACTCACAAAAAAAAAATCAGAAAAAAAACTTACTTTTAGGCCCCGAAATTTCTGGAGGTGTTCGGCCCCCGAACGGGACCCCGAACGCCCGAACGTTCGGGGGCCAGCCCAGGGGCCCCCGAACGTTCGGTCAGGTAACCCTGGTCATTATAGTATTACGGGGAATCCGTGCTCAAGCCTCCAACGAGGGAACATGCGGGAGCTGCACCCACCAGCAGGTGCGATACGTGCTACAGCAGGTGAGTGATACTGGCCAGGGGTCAGCGGGTAGCATCAGGACCGAGCTTCTTCAATGGGCCAGTCACTCTGCCTCCCCTCTGGTCCCCTCCCCCTATGACCATCGCCAGTCTCTGCTCAATGCCACTCGGGGGCACCAATGGCATTTCTCTAGGTGGCGGGCGCCAAGCTCGCCCAGGAAGGTACATGAGGCCAATGGGGATTAAACCCAAGACCTCCTGAATGCCACTTGCATGCCTTACCCACTGAGCTAGTTTTTTTTTTAGTGTAATCCGAATACAAGACTCGAAGGGCTCTGCAGGCAAACACCTAACCATAAGGCTAAGTGGGCTAGGGTGAAAGTGAAGCCCCAAGATGAGCACTTCACCCCACCCCAGCACGGAGATCCCGCGACACGGTGTACCCAACCACACTGACCCCTGCGCAGCCACACAGCTCATAGTATAATCTCTACGGCGGTTAATGTGCGAAAGCTCGTGCAATCCGAATACAAGACTCGAACACACAACCAACGGCTCGGCAGGCAAACACCTAACCATAAGGCTAAGTGGGCTGGGGTTAAAGTGAAGGCCCAAGACTGAGCTAGGCCTCTGGATAACTGCTGCTCCCCACCAATAGACTGGGGCGACCAGCCGCGTCCCTGCAAAAAAATAAAAAAATAAAAAAATAAATGTAAGTAGTACCAAAATACCTTTCTCGGCCTTTTCGCTAAGATCAAGTGTAGCATCTGTCCTCCGTGGTTCTGCGAGAAAACCAAAAAGAAAGAGTGGAAAGGAACCCTGTGCAACCTTTCTTTTTCCTTTTTTCTTTCTCTTTTTTTCAAGGGGCCACGACCTTGAGATATCAAACTATCCAGCGCCCTAGCTCAGTTGGTAAGGCACGCAAGTGACATTCAGGAGGTCTTGGGTTCAATCCCCATCGGCCTCATGTACCTTCCTGGGAAAGCTTGGCCGCCCCCACCTAGAGATAAGCCGCTGGTCCCCCCAGTGGCATTGAGCAGAGACTGCTGATGTTCATAGGGGAAGGGGACCGGAGGGGAGGCACACTGACTAGCCCATCGAAGATGGCTTGGTCCTGATGCCAAGACTGGAGGGGAGGGACAGTGACTACCCTCTTCCCCCGAACTCAACGCACCCTGATTATGGTTGTACCCAACCGGAAATATAGCTTGTATGCATTCATTTCAGGGTACGTTATGTTCGGGGGAAGACGGTAGCCCATCGAAGAAGCAAAGATCGGTCAGCAAAGATCGGTCCTGATGCTACCGGCTGACCCCTGGCCAGTATCGCCCACCTGCTGTAGCAGGTATCGCACCCGCTGGTGGCTGCAGCTCCGGCATCCGCATGTTCCAAACGAGCTCGAGTATGGATGTGGCTGCTTCGGGGTTCCCCTTAATACTATAATCACAATTGAAAGGCCGTCCTGTCCAGATTCGACAGGTAACACCTGCTGTAGCAGGTATCGCACCTGCTGGTGGCTGCAGCTCCCGCATCTGCATGTTCCCTCGTTGGAGGCTGGAGTACGGATGTGGCTGCTTGGGGGTTCCCCGTACTACTATAATCACAATTGAAAGGCCGTCCTGTCCAGATTCGACAGGTAATTGAATTGGTTCCACTAGTACCTTTCCCGCGTGGGAAAATAGGGAAAACTGGCTGTTGTGTTTTCCCAAACTCCTGAATCTTCGGCGGGGAAAACTGGCTGTTGTGTTTTCCCAAACTCCTGAATCTTCGGAGGTCGGGCCCGACGACGACTGCCATTGATAAATCTGATCGGCGGCCGTCATTTCGTTTCGGCCCCCGAAAAAGGTCGGATGCCTACCCGAGGCCCGCTATTTTCCAAGCGGCAAAGGCACTAGTGGTTTATCCTCACAAAAAAAAAAAAAAAAAAAAAAAAAGAAGAAGAAACTGACCGGCCCCCCGGTAGGTACTCCAGAATTGTGGTATTTCACTCGTCCCCTTCTGGAATTCTACCGCAGGGATCTATTTCAGTGGTGTACCCAACTGAACTGCGCCGTCTTCCCCCGAACATAACGCACCCTGAAATTGAACGTATGCAAGCTATATTTCCGGTCCGGTACAGCCAAGATGAGGGTGCGTTGTGTTCGGTAGGCCGGTTGGTAACCCTGGGCAACCTTTCCGCGGATATCAGTTGTTTGATTTGACACTCAGGTCATGGTCGCACTTTTGACTTTCGTACTGACGGAGTTCACACCCGGATTCGTTCGACAAAGTCGCGCGGCGAGTGTGCGTATGTGTGTGTGTTCATGCCGCCGTACGGTAGCCCCCGAATTTACTGGTTAACAACTTTCTTTGTGGCTGCATTCGTTGAAAAAAAGCAACAGCGTTTACAAGAAGAAAAAAGAAGAAGGAAGGGACAGCGTCGTGGCATGCGGCAATAGGCTCGTGGTATGTGCAAATAGTAAGCCACAGCGTTTACAAGAAGGAAAAAAGAAGAAGGAAAGGACAGCGTCGTGGCATGCGGTAATAGCATCGCGGTATGTGCAAATAGTGCGCCGTGCGTTCTATTTAGAGATGACTGTAGTTGGTCCCGCGGCTAGGTCCCACTTACACGAATTAGGCGATATCGACCGTAGATAGCAAAGATCAACGGCCAGAATCTCTTAATCCGTGCAAGTGGGACCTTGCCTCAGGAAGTCTCTCCATATGGGCAAGCGAGGACGGATCTCACCGTGTACCGCCTGACGTGCCGAGGGGATTTTTCTTTCAGAATCCCAGATTGGCAAGTCGCGATGAGCATACCAACCAGGTCGAGCTGCACAGGCTACTTTTCGACGAATCAGCCCAGATTCCTCCACCAGATTCACTCTCTCTTTTATTTCTTCAAAACAGTGCAACGGGGCTTGAGACAGCGACAGCATCATCGGTGAACTCACCAGCCCCAGGTATTTTCAGAATATGGTTATATTCTGATCATATTGTGCTATCTGGATTCGAACTATGGTCTGCATTTCAGCAGTTCATGGGTGCACCAACTGAGCTACCGTCCTCCCCCGAACATAACGCACCCTGAAAATGAACGTATGCAAGACATGTTTCCGGCCCGATACAGTCAAAATGAGGGTGCGTTGTGTTCGGGAAAAGACGGTAGGCCCACTGGTCATCCACCAGGTTCACGTCCCTAAAACTATCACAATACCCCACCCTTTGCGCCTGGCTCCAAGCGACCAGAGGACGATGCTGAATGTACACGCCACAAAGAACGCCCCGCGACTATTCTTGAAAGAAAAAAAGAAAAAAAGAAAAGAAAAGAAGAAGTCTCTCGGCGATAGCCTGTACTCTACATCTTCTTCGCTAAGACGCAGAAATCCGTGAACACGACTTAAGCCACGAATATGTGAATGCATAATTTCGAATTGACCAACTAGCCTACTACCGGTAGCAAAGTCGGTACACCCCCCTGGACTGAACTGTTGAAATACAGACCAGGTGCTGAGTTCGAACTCCACTTGGAAGCAGATGAGTAAAATTAAATTCTGCAACAATTCTGAATTACCTACATGTAGGGCCCCGGTCAGTCAGTTCACATGATGATGATGATGATGATGACATCTCAAGGCCGTAGCCCTTTAAAGATATATAAATAAAAAACAAAAAAATCAAATTGACTAGGTAGAGTGCGAAATACTTTAACTTCAAATATCGAAGATGGGACTCTCACAATCAAACACTGTGTACATCGTTATTACTGAGCCCGCCCACTCCGAGTTCCATTGAGGACTGGGCTGGGCGTCGCTCTCTTTTGTTCAATGCTACTCCTACATCAATCATTATGAACCCCTTCACACCAGCTTTTTTTTTTTTTTTTTTTTTTTTGCTGAACCCACGCCAAAAATTTGGACCATTTCTTGATTTATGCGTGCCATCCTTGCGGAGGCGTCATGCTGATCTTCTCTGTATCGTTCCAATTTCAACGGACGTCCCAGTTTCTTTTCTTTCGTCGCGCCCTATGATGGTAGCGCTGTCTAAATCACCCCCACTACACGTTGCTGCGGTCAAACATGTGCATCTTTCCAAGACAATGACATCTGGCATGCATCCAGTCGATGGGATAATCGGAACGGTGGCTACTGTTGCTGACGTCTCGTCATAGGTAGCTACCGTCTTCGCTCGAACACAACGCAGCCCGACCATGAGCGTATACGAACAATCTTCCCGGTCAATTACAGTCACAATTGGGGTGCGTTGTGTTCGGGGGAAGCGGTAGTCCGACTTTGCCACTGGTCAGGTCCGTATCCGCTTTCTGACTCCGGGACAATTACTAGTACCTTCTTTTTCCAGAATAGAAAAACGTGGAAGACACTCAAAACGCCATGGAAATGGCGCTATCCTAGCCGACCGTCAGCGACACGTCAGCGCGGCGCGGGGAATCATATCAACCGACGATTACCCAAGAACCACGACTACTTGGAACGAGAAAGTTGAAGATATCACCTGCGCTCAGGCGTAGAAGAGACAAGGTAAGGTATGGTAAGGAAAGGAAGGGAGGGAGGGAGAGAGGGAGGGCAGAGATCTGGGTAGGGAATCCATTAGATATAAAATGTGATTGAAGAGAACGATCTCTGAGAAGGCCTCGGAAGATCTGTGGAAGACTGTGACCACAGGATGGGGTTCTGATACTCAAGCAGGGCATTTTGAGAGGGGCGCTCAGGTGGTTGGTTGTAAATTTCTGAGTCCCCAGAGTGAAGCATCGCTTCCAGAGAGACGAGGCGAGGCAAAGAAGAAGGCGGTCGCAGCCAAAGCAGAGAAAAATGTTGAAGGGATGATGAGAAATCACTATCTCGTCACTTCCCAAGTGGCATATCATGCGCTCACTGACCATTCAATGATGACTGCCCGCTTCGACTGTTGCCCCTCAGCGAGAGCGGCTTCGAATTCCTCCACGGAGCTGATCGGTAACAGGATCAACGGCTTCTGTGCATCGGATTCCTCCTTACACGTGTCGTCATCACTCCTTTGAAGCGCCTCAACTTTCCAGGAGCGAGATGATGCAATCCCATCATTCTCTTCCTCCGCGCCCTTTTCAATCGCCGCCGCTGATCTCTCCTTCTGTCTGACGGGTTGCGGCCGTTCTTGACTCCAGGCTCCGTAGCGGCGGCGGCGGCAGTGCCTGCTGCGCACAGCCTGAGAGGGTAAGCCAACAAATCCATTGGCGCCAAGGACATTCCCAGCGACACCAAATCCAGCCGAAAATTCAATCCTCCTCCCACATGCGCTGCGCAATGGAAACGCGCCCGCGCTAAACGCTCTAAACGCTGATCCGCAATACGTGCTGCTCACGGAATACCTCCTGGTGCTGGTGTCGGTGTCGGCGCGCCAGAGCCTAGTAGAAGCACTAGAAGCGGCACTAGAAGCACTAGAAGCGGCACTGGAAGCACTAGAAGCAGGAGTTTGCACCGTCCTGTGGCCGAAGCAGCGCCCTGCTGTAGTACGACCGTAACGGTTGTGATCGAAATTCAACCTGCAAGGATCCCAACATATACATTCTCCCGCGACAGCCGCCGCCGCCGCGCAAACGTGTGCACCATTGAACAGAATCTGATGCAATCGGCCGCGCAACTTCAGCGCGCAGTCGTGCTGCGCGGCGTTTCTTGGTCCGCAACCCCTCCCCCCGCTACTTATGATGCCCGCCACCACCCCAGTGTCGCTGTCGACCGCGCCGCGTGACCAGCGGCTTCCCGCCACATTGTTGGCAGTCTCTTCCGCCCGCGCGAACCATTGAATTTTGCAGTTTCCCGCGACAGCCATTGTTGTTTCTATTTCCAGCGTGTGTCCCGCGCCTTCGCTCCTTTTCAATCAATGCCAACTGCGCGCGACATACGCACTACGTCTTCCGCGCTGTCGTAAGATACATACTACCTGCAGTAAAAATTGCCGCTGCCCGCCGGAAGGTCACAGCGTGCGGGATGCATCAATCGGCGACGCAGCAGCCCAGCAGCAGCCCCTTCGGTATCGGTAAGGTCCGAAACATTTCCCGAAAAATTACGTAACGTAACGTACGTACGAGAGAGCGGGAATCGTTCTGCCCCCCGCCGCTCGCACTCTTTTTTTTTTTTGTTCCTGTTCCATGCACGATAATTCTTCTTCCTGTTCCTTGCACGATAGAATTAAGTTATGGCGGGAGTAACCCTGGTTTCTTACGTCCCGACGTTCATCAGACGTCCGTTGGCCAAGCACCGGCGGGACGGCTTAGAAGCGCTTTTTATTTTTTAAGCGGTCATACCCGTCATGTCGTGCCTCCGCAGGATCGTTTAAGGATTCGGTCAATGTGACTCTCCGAAATCTGGAGATGATTTGTGTGTGCACTCTACCCGTACCCGAATGGGCGTCAGGCATCAAACCTCATGGCCGCCCTATCCGTTTCCCAGTTTGAAAACACTCAACAGCCGCAGCATGCGAACGCTTCCTCTGTAACCTGCTTGCTCTCGTTTGTGGGGGAGCCTCACAAACCTGTGTTCACTCAGAGGTGCGTTTGGACACCCCCGTCGCATCACCACCGCCCCCGGGGCCAAGTCCCACTAGCAGCGTTGAGCTACTACCTCAACGCCTGAATCTGGACGTGCAGAAATGGTGTTGAGTTGCACGTCCCATTTCTGCACATTTCCGCAAAAAAAGCGTCCAGATTCAGGCGTTGAGGTAGCTCAACGCTGCTAGTGGGACTTGGCCCCCACGGGGTGGTCGTTTGGAAGGCCAGGGTGCGCCTTCCTCCCAAACGACGTGTGGTCGCGAACGTCCAGATATGCTGCGACGGTACGTGCATGTTCGATTCGATGTGATGTAATGTAATACAAGTGCTTTTGCGTGCCGATAGGCGCAAAGCAATCTTTCTTAGCTATCGCTCCAGCTGCACCAAACCAACTGGCCTAGCTGTATTTATAGCTGTATTTGAGGCATCTTTCAGTCTAGATACCGCTATAATGACCTTACGTTGTACTCGGGGGTATTTGAGTCATCTGTCAGTCTAGATACCGCTATAATGACTTTACGTTGTACTCGGGGGAAGAAGATAGTTCAGTTGGTACACCGCCTGTGGCACGGTCCCACTAGCAACGGGATAAGCCTTAGCTATGGGCGTCGCTGCACTACTCTCGACATGCACAAAAGACAAAAATCTTGGCGGTGTATCTTTCCGAATTCTAGACGAAGATTCACCCTCTCAAAAATGTTTGGTTCGCATCCCGTTTTTCGTGTTTTGGAATGAAAATGGACCGCCCTCTCATTGGCCATGCATAAAAAAAAGAGAAAAGAAAACGAATAGGAGGGGGGTCTTCTTTCTAGAGCAATTTTCTTTCGGGTAGAGGGCAGTCACCAGTTCCGTTCAGAAAAGTGGTGTATATATAATGAATTTCAAAAATATTATTATTATGAGTGGGCAGTTGGCCTGTCAGAATGGGAAGCCTCGTCCTTCCACTCCATGAGTTCAGCATGGGAGACATGTACAGAGGGGGGTGCAGCACTGTAATGTATCGGGCACATAAAACCGTCCCATACATTTCCAATCAAATTTCCCTGTCAGGCTCAGCCCCAGGAGCACTAGCAACTGAACAAGGAGATTAACGCAAGGCCGGAACCACTAGCANCAGGAGCACTAGCAACTGAACAAGGAGATTAACGCAAGGCCGGAACCACTAGCAGGATTCGGGTTGCTCACACATTTTGAATGTATAGGACCTAGAACATGTAGATACACTTAGTATGCTGTATAGTCTTCCTCCCTCTCTCTGGCATGCGTTTGTTGTCATTGGCTCTGTGTCTGTGTTAGCGCGCCTGCCCACCCGCTGAAACTGCTCCGTGCTCTGAAGACCGAAAAAAGACTCCCTGATTTCATTTTACTTTCTCTACTTCTAATTATTTCTTGAAGTGTAACACATGTCCCCCGGATATAGCTAAGGATAATGCAGGTGCTAGTGGGATATAGCTGAACTGTTGAAATACGGCCCTGAGTTCGAAATGCACTCACGGCAGATGAGCAAAATACTACAGTTCTGAATTACGTTGGGCCGGAGGGATAAACCAAAAAAAAAAACAAAAATAGAACAAACATTGCACTGATAAAAATAAAAAATTACCTGTCAAAAAAAAAAAAGTCAAAAAAAAAAAAAAAAAAACAGGGGCTCAGGCCAGATTCAGGGTACCGGTTCTTACTGGTTGGAAAGGGGGTCTGATTTCTGGGTTGTGTCGGTCCCGGAGCATTCCCGTGTTATGATTTGCCCTTTTGTGGTCTGTTCTTTCTTTTTTACCCTTTGTTTTCTGCTTTTTCTTTGATTCTCGAACGTTGAAGAGGTTTGTTGTGGTTCGAAATCCTGTCCGTCAGATGTTTTTCGAAGCTGAAGTACGGTAATGTGTTGTCGAGTCGCAGTGAGTGGCGTACCACTGTCGGAGGCTCTGACCGGTTTTGTAGGATAAAGAAGTGTCGGTTTGAGCAATTGAACTCTGGACTACTGTTTTTTCTTTTAAGCTATAGCGGTAGGACTTCTAGTTACTTCTATAGGTTATAGGAATAGTATAAATGGAAGGTTTCAGTCTTTTTTCCTTCCGACACAGAAGACCCCTGATGAAGGCTGGTATGGCGGCCAGCCGAAACCGGTCGGGTCACTCGTCATCTGGATGTTTGCGTCCAGCTATGTGTGCTTCATTCATATTTTTACGTTGCGTTCGGAATTTTTGACTTACCTTCGCGTATATCGCTTCCTTACCTTTCCTGTCTCTCTTTCCCTCAATCTCTCTAATTAGCATGCATGGATGTCGATGTATGAATGGGTTTGGTTTCGTGCTTGACTATCTTCTGAACGTGTGAAGAATTGTCGTCATATCGACAACTTCCTTTCTCAAGGTAACCGTCGTAGAGGTCATACTATGTGCGTGTGGCTTTGTTGAATTGTTTGCGGCAGTCATGGCGTCTAATCTGGGTCCTTCCTCTTCGATCGTCCGCGCGTGCTATAATTGTGGCCAACCTGGCCACTTGTCGCGTTTCTGTCTTCTGCTGGACCGCCGTTTGGTCGGTACCTCTTCCGCTAACGTTAACAATAATAATACGGCAATTGTGCCAGCACAGGGTAGTGCCCTTGTCACTTATCCAGCGGCGGGCGGGCAGTATGGAGGATACGGGTATGGGTACGGCGGTGGCTTGAAACCGCGTGTGGAAACGTTGGAGTCTACGGTCGCAGAGCTCAAGGCTCATCGGGATGTGGAGCTCGAACGTGAGAAACACAAGGAGGGAGAGGGAGAGGGAGAGGGAGAGGGAGGAGAGCTAGCCCACGCCTTGCCTCACGATCCAGAACACTGAAGACGTGCAGGTAAAGAAGACCGACGTTTAGGATGTACTCACATTAGCTGTGTCTTAAATGAATCTGACCGAATTTGTTG